CATCGCGTGTAGACTTGAGTTCTTCCTCCAGCTCCGTGATCCTGGTCATTGCCTTCTTCAGATCTATCATGCCTGCGCACATCTGGTTCTCCTGGCGGCGAATGTGCTGGTTTAACTCCTGGATGAAAGCTGTAATAGATCTATCCTTCCTGGTGCTGATCATCTCCCATTGCTCATCTCGGCGCCCACAAATCTGGTAGATAGTATCCTTTAGATCCTTATGGTAAACTTCTCCAATGCGTCCCATGGTGATGTGGGCTGCCATGCTCTTTCCTAAACTCCAGGTTGGTGCATCAAAGGAAAACTCTATGGGCTCAGTGACTGGCATGAACGTCCTTCCTGGAACTTGAACTCGAATCATCCAACGCTCCTCTTCTGGTAAAGTGGCGATGTAGGTCCTGGTGAAGCTTGGTATTCCGATGTTCAGGTATCTAGTAACTTCCTTCAAGTGGCGTCCAAAAGGTGTTTTTCATCCGGTTGCGTGAACTTGTTCCTTGCATCCGCCATCCTAAAGAGTAGAAAAAGGGAGAGAAGTCAGAAATGAGAAGAGAGTAGTGATCTAGGGCTTTACTTTAGTGGTCGTGTCCTATAGTCAGCATGTGCTCTGATACCATCTTGTAGCGACCAGACCTCAAACAGTCTGATCTCTGTGCATCAGTGTCATCCCTGGATCGGTAATGCTGACACGCATAGTACTTGAAGGATTTATAACAGAGTAGCAATCACACACTTATTACATTGAATGTCTCAAAAGAGAACTTATTACAATAAATATGGCTTAAGGCCATCTAAATACGATAACAGCGGAAGGCTTGGAAGATAAAGTGAGTCCATCAACTCCAACGACATCACTGAGTGAAAGATCACGACCTAAGGCACCTTACTCGTCATTTGAAAAGTATGCAACATGAACGTTGCAGCCCGAAATGAGTCAGCACATGGAATATGCTGGCAATGTAACACAAGAGAGAAATGAACCGAATAATGCTATCACTACATGCATATATGGCTGGTGGAAAGCTCTATGGTTACAATTTTGCATAAAGCCAATTTCCCCTACAACAAAGGAACTAATTTTATTTAACTATCATGGTGGTTGTTAAACATTGAGAAGGTTCACCCAACTCAATCCCAATTAAGCATCATCATTAAACCCAATCAAATTGTATTTAAGAGTGATGAGATCCACATGATAATCCAAGAACTACATACTCAAAACATCCATAATCGGAGACACGGCTAACCATGATTATTTATACACTCTGCAGAGGTTTGCGCACTTTTCCCCACAAGACTCGAATACATCCATGGTCGGAGAAACGAGACACAGTCTTTCTGAAACAATAACTCTTTACTCTGGGTGGACAGTTACACCTACTTTCCCCTGCATCTGCTAGCCCACCACCAAAAGAGGTCTTGCAACTTTCTCAACTATGCTTGAGCCCATAATAGCTTGTGGCTGCACACGGAAGTTTCTAGCATGAATAATCTTATGATCCCTTTGAGCCTGGGTGGCGGTCCATAGGAGAATCACACGGCACCCCGGGATTTCCAAGAAAAACAGGCAACACTGGGTTCCCCAGGTGCCTCAATCCACCCAGACGTGTATTAAAGTAGACACCTTAAGTTAACCATTAAATAACATTACTCACATCTGTCATGGATACACTCACCCAATCCACGTCTACGAGCATAACATAGCAATATAAGCAACGTAGAAGTAACTCCCAAAGGTTTGATAATAAACAGGACAATAGGTACTACCTCATCTACTTCCCAAATCCCACAAGTTAATTAGATACTAACCATGCAATTGTTGTAGGATTGATCTAATGCAATAAAACTGGGTAGTAAAGAGGTATGATCAAAGTGATACTTGCCTTGCTGATGATCCGTGAAACCTAGAAACTCGTAGTAGCACGCTTCACACTCCGGGTACTCTATCGCAAACAAACAAGCATACAATAAGCACTCAACTGGAAGCATGAGTAAAACTCAAATAAGAGATCTAAACAGAAAGTTCAACTTAAGAACTCCGGTTTGCAAAAAGAATCAAATCAAACGAAGCAACGAAACTCAAACTGCGAAAAAACCAAGATCCATTTACTAATCTGGACTTAAGTCAAATTCTACAGTAGCAACAACTTGTTTAAGTTGGTTAAACCGAAAGAGGGCTTCGAGGCGAAACTCTAGGCGCTTGAATCGCCTGATTCCGATAAACGAGCGAAAAGATAAACTAAAACGAAAATCAGGGCAGAAATCGCGCTCGAAAATAATCGCGGAAAAACATTGGAAAAAGAAAAACTGACGAACAGGCTAATGAACGAACATTCGCTGTCTGCGGCTAACGGGTGAAAGTCGTTCATTAAAACGAAGGAACAAACGGGCATTCGCTAAATAACTGAACCGAAAAAAAACCAATCTATATTAAAAAAATCAACCGCGGTTTCTAAAAAAAACCCGACGGTTTTCTAACGAAAACTGCGACGGCTACCTTGGTGAAAACCGGCAAGTGCGGTGGCACTCCGGTGGCGACGGCGCACTCCGGCGGGGCGTCAGGCGGGTGAGGTGGCGGTGGGGATCCGAGGCGGCGGCGGGGCGGCGGTGAGGCGACGGCGACGGGGCTCTGGGCGGCGATGGCTCGCGGGCGGCGGTGCTGATCCGAGGCGGCGGCAGCGTCGGTGGCGGTGTGGTGGTGAGAGGCGGCAGGGTGTGGTATTTAAGGAGGGAGGTCCGACGGCTTGGGGAAGGGGCGAGGAGGAGGAGTCCTCCCCGGACTCGGCGGCGGCGGCGTGCTCCGGCCGGACTCCGGTCGAAGTCGGTCTGGCAGGGGCGAGGCGAGGTCGGCCCGGCTCGGCTGGGCCGCTGGCCCAGTCGGGCTCGCACAGTTTTTTTTAAATACGTTTCCACCAAAAACAAATCCTAAAAAAATAAATAAAAATCTGAAAATGCCAAAACAAATTTTCACCGTCTAAATAAAATATTTAGAACAAGATGAACATTTTCTTGGCCTAAAAATGCAATTTTGAAAACGTGAAAATTTTCTAATTCAAATAAAATTGCAATAAAATCCAAATAAATATTTATTTGATTTTAATATTTTTCCTCTAATGTTTCATTTTTTTTGGAGAAGTCATATTATCACCTCTCATATATTTTTATTTTAGAAATATTAGAAAAGAAAAATACTTAAAACCAAATGATCCTCTTTTCAAAATTTGAGAAAACTCAAATATGAAAATAACAAAATCCGCAACTCTCTCCGTGGGTCCTTGAGTTGCGTAGAATTTCTAAGATCAAGCCAAAATGCAATAAAATATGATATGCAATTATGATCTAATGTATAACATTCCAAATTGAACATTTGGGATGTTACAAATTCGCTACGGTCTAAGAGCGGTTTCAAATTTACTAAATCGCGGAATTCAGTTTTTTTGAAATTTGCGGTACTGTTTTCGCTCCAGTTTTTCAACCGTTTGTCGAAACGAGGCGTATGATACACTGTTGGAAAGCTACGGATGAGGCGCAACTTTCATATGTTGATTTTGATATTAATTACGGTTTTAAGCTAATTTCAAAAATCGTGCGACGGACAACGAGTGGCAGCGGCCGTTTTTTCAAACCGCTCGCAGCAATGATGCAAATGATACATCGTTGGAATGATATCAACGAGATGCAACTTTTTCATGTAGAACAATCTCTCTAATTACTTACGGTTTAAGAGCAGTCTTTAAATTACCGAAACACGGATACTCTGTTTTTCGCGATACTCAAATCGATGAGTGACCTTCATCCGACAGAAAACCGCATTGCTTGAGACTGAAACCCGCACTACATTAGATGGACAAGCGAACTACATTATTCCTTTTTTCAAGGGTACGTTTAACGGACGAGGAAGTGGAGTGCAGTTGACATTGGGCGTAAGTGGACCGCAAATTATCAAGAGATGAGTCGCAGGAGATTATGAAGTGAGCTTCACATCAGGCTTAAGTGGGCCACAAAACTATCGAGATGTGAGCCGCATGAGATTACAAAGTGAGCTTCACATCGGGCATAAGTGGACCGCAAAACTATCGAGAGGTGAGACACGTGAGATTACAAAGTGAGCTTCACGTCGGGCGTAAGTGGACCGCAAAACTATCGAGAGGTGAGCCACATGAGATTACAAAGTGAGCTTAATAAATTTACATACCAGGCACTTTTCTGTTTACCAAGTGGTGCCTCTGATGTTTTTGTTTCCGATGGGAATTACTTTTTTCTCTTTTTTTCACAAAGTGAAGCACCAACCACCACAAAATGAACCAGACACCTTTTCTACAAATAAAAGAATACATACAAAACTTCACACACGAACCGCGCGAGAGACATTTCTCTCTCACACAAATAAATTTTTACATTTTCTCTCACACATTCAAGAAGAAAGTGAACTTAAAAAATTGATCATTTTTCTTCTGTAGTTTCCCAGCGAACAGAACATCGACACACACACACACACACAACCTGCATGTATCGTGCACATGGGCTGCAAACAAACCGCACACGCCGCATACATGAACTACAGGAGCTACATCGCCACCGCCCGTACTGCATGCTTACGCCACACCAGACTGCACGGGGCCTTCAGCATCGATCAATTCAACATCAACCCAAAACTGCAGCATGTAGGACGTCGGGGGCTCGTGGTGGCCGCTGGGTGAACTGCAGGTCACCCGTTGAACCACCTGTAGTGTGAGTTGCACTGCCGGGCACACAACACTGTGTTGTGGATAGAGTCGTTGTTGACCAAAAACAAACAACAATGTGCAGGGGGCGAACTGCATGGGTGAGGAGGGAGAGCTGCAGCGCCAAGCTAAACTGCACACCGGCGGCGACAATGCAGGGCAGCATTACCCTGCATTTGGGCCCGCCCTTCCTGCCGCCATCCTTCGCCCCCACACTGCTGCCCTGCTCCTCCTTGGGGCGGGAGGCATCGCCACCACAGTCGTCGTCTTGTTCATGAGCTACAGCCACGGGAAGCAGCAGATGAGACGGCGGAGGCCATGGCCGCCGGATCCAGAGGAGGCGAAGCCTTGGTGGCCACCACTCCGGGACAACTCCTCGCCCTGGCCGGCATCAAGAGGCGGTGATCCCGACAGGAAGTGGATGACCGCAGGGAGGCAGGGGGAGCTCGGGGGACATGTCGCCGCCGGTAGACAGTGGTTGTGCCACGCACCGCGGAGATCACGCTGGGTCTTGGCGCCCCGAAAATCCAAGGAGAGGGGAAGGACGGCGTGCCCTACTACCAATCGTCTGCATCGCTGCAGATTGAGGCGAGGGAAAGTTCGTCGATGCCTGGGGAAGGGGAAATAGATGGATCGGGGGAGGGCGGCACCGGCGAGGGAAGAAGGTGGATTGGGGGAGGGCGGCGCCGACGGGGAAAGTAAGTGGATCGGGGGAGGGCAGGGCTGGCGGGGGAAGGTCGCCGGGCACGAGGGAGCCGCGCGCATCTCGCTCCGGGGTGGTGGGTTGGCAGGGCAGAAGAGATAGACGGACAGCAGTACGGCTCTGGCATCGGAGGCACGAGCCCCTGGCGTCACCGGCAGTGGAAGGTGGAGGGGAGGTGGGAGGAGGCTGTGCAGGAGGAAGAAGGTGGGAAGGAGGGGATCGGGCACGAACAGAACGTGCGAGGAGAGGGGTAGGTGCGTTGACTCCTTTTGTTTTCAGATCAGGGTGGAATCGGCGGTGGGAGGTGTTAGCAGAATAACTGACAAGTGTTATTAGAATAATGTTTTAAGGGGTGTTATCATAATAGACCCACTCTATATATATATTAGTCCTACATACGCGTCCATGAACACTCCTCACTCAGTGTGGGGACTTTTCAGTTTCCGAGGCATGTGCCACATCAAAGTTGTGCATTGGCTAGCTATTCAAACATCACATAACACCTCTTTGGGCAACATGCGTGCAAAGCAGTGGTTATCCTAGGACAATCACGCGTGAAGCTTCCATCTGTGGGCCCGCGAGGTCGTCGTCCATGCATGCATCACTTTGACCTACATCAGAAGAGGTTAATTAGTTTCACCATCAAGGAGGGTTCTTTTTGGTTTGTATTACGGTAGGAGCATATAGTATGCGTCGAATAGGGGGAGGGGACAAGCATATATACTACTCTTCATGAACCTAGCTCGCTCTATGTGGGGACTTTATGGTTTTCGAGGCATGTGCCACATCAATGTTGTGCATTTTGGGTATTCAAACATCACAACCACACACACACACCTCCATACATATGTATGGCCCACATGCAAAGCAATGGTGGTTGTCCTTTGGCACCCACTCACGTGGTTATCAATGAGATCGATACTTTCCATCTATGGGCCCACTTGGTCCATCACTACTTTGGTCGACAACGACAGAGGTTAATTTGACTTTGGACGGGATTATTTTTTGGTTTATATATTATGGTATATATATAGGTCATGCTCCGGGATGACATGGTATAGTTTGAGCACATGCATGTCTACGCATGAATCCCTCCCACCAAGTCGAAGTGGGCAGCGGGGGAAGGGGCAGCACACCACGACACATCATGATCCAGTCTCGCTCTGTGTGTAGACTGTATGATTTTCGATGCAACGCGCCACATCAATGTTGTGCATGGTATTCAAACATGCACGCATCACCTCCATACATACATATGCATGCAGTGGTTGTCTTCGAACGGTACTCTCCCTCACGGGGTTATCGACGACAAGCCTATATATTTGTGGGCCTGCATGTACATCAATGATCACTTTGACCGACAACGAGATATATATGTTACCATCGTGGATTCTTCTTCTTCTTTGTTTCATGTTATCGTAGTAGGTCATGGTGAGATTCCAGACATAAGTTTGAGCGTATACATACACATGCATGCATGAATCCCCATCATGGCTCGAAGTGTGGTGTGACATACATATATACAACACGTCGTTAACTAATCCTTGCTCCGTGTGGGGATTTATCGTTCCAAAGCACGGTTCCACATCAAAATTTTGTTCCACTGGGTATTCAAACATCAACACATATCCATACATACGTTTGGGCCACATGCAGGCAGTGGTTATCTTCGGGCACTAGCTACTCGCATGATTATTGGCGTGCTAGCCCATCTCTGAGGTCGTGTGGACGTCCATCACTTTTACCAACAACAAGCGAGAGGTTGTAGGGCCAAGGTGGATTCTTCTTGGTCCGGTTTATGATACATCTTGGTGAGATGCACTGTCCCGCCGACTGAAAGTGTGTGTGTGTGTGTGTGTGTGTGTGTGTGTGTGTGTGTGTGTGTTTGACAGGGAGACTGCTACTTCACACTTTGATAGGTGATCCTCCGTGGGGTTGGGGATGTCCGGTTAATTTGCGAGACATGTGCCGCATCAAAGTTGTGAATTGGGTATTTAAATATCACACCACCTTTTTCATACATATAGTTCCGCTACCCGCATGTCGTCCGTATGTGGTCTCACCCCATCTCGCGCGAGAAGCACACGTTTTGGGCCCGCACACGGTCCACCTTTCACTGGAAACGAAAGGGGGCGTGGTTTGACCATGATGGACTCCTATAGGTTTACTATTACGGTAGGGTGATATGTTAGATCTAACTATTTGGGGTCATGCATTCATAGCTAGGATTCCCTCCTGCCGACACGAGGGGGGGGGGGCAAGCAATATCGTGCGTTTTGTGAGATAGGTGCCACATCAAAGTTGTGCATTTGGTATTTGAACATCAGACCACCATATTCATTCCTATTTTTGGTCCACATGCAAGTGTGTTCGTGTTCTGACCCTTTCCCGTGTTGTTTTCGCCAAATTTATAAACATTAAAAAAGTCGGATGACGCAACAAACGCGGTTCACTCACACTACACGTGTGCCATGCCGGTGGCCCTGTACCCACTCACATCAGCACAGTACATTGGGCTCCACGAGGCTTCCCTCGCAATCTCAAAAATATCTACCCTTCTGCAGGGTTTTTCTGTTTGACAACACATGGTTATTATGTTTCGACCATGTGTGATGTTTGTTGTTCCCGCTCCCGCCTACATCCCTCAAAAATATCTGCCTGGCTCGATGGTTTTCCTGCTTGATAACACACGGTTGTTATTTTGGGACCGTGTGCGATGCATCATCCAAATTTAAATAGCCCCGGCATTTTACTCCCGCGTAGTAAAATTTTCAGTAGCCGCATCATTTCCTCAAACACCCCCCTCCACAAACACACCCCAAAAACTCCTCGCGCGCGCACACACACACACATACGCACACCCCACCACAATCCCTCCCTCGCTTGAAACCCTAGCAAGGTCGCCGCCGCCGCAAGGCCCCCATTGTCAACATCTGCCGGTTTACCCATGTAGCTTACCCACCGATCTCCATACCCTAGCCGCCCAGAGTTTCTTAGATGACGCCTGCCAAATTCCAACTTTCCCATAGATCCCCATCCCCATCCCCCACTCTAGAGCATTACAGCCTAAGTCCGACAACACTTCCCATGGAGCTCGAGGAGCGACTGGCCCAAAAAGAGGTGTATCGCGGCCTCTTCACTCGATGTTGCCAAGGTGGCCACCGAGGAAGCTGACGACCATTATTGGCCACGGGCTCTCAATCAGCGGGCTAGACTATGCGGGTATGTCGCGGATGTCTGCTATGACATCGAGGTCATCGACATCGACGACCTGACGTGGGTATGTCACAGGTTAAGTGGCCCACCCCAACCCCTTGGGTTCGACCGCCATCGATCTCATCAATGGACCCGCCGCTAATCTCCTCTGGCTCGCTGTCAAGAATTTGTCATTCCACATCACCATCGAGCCACTTTTGTCATTTCTGAAGGACACATTCTACGATGCTGGCTTGGGATCCACAGCTGCCAAGTCAGACCTCATCGACGGCGACCACGAGGAGGTCACCCTCTCCATCTCTTCCAAGGGGAAAGATCCCGTCTATGACATCGAGGAGGGCACCCTACAGCCGTTCTCTTCCAAGGGGAAGGAGCCCATCTGTGACAACATGGAGCGCACCCAGGGTCCGTGTTCTTTCCACGGGAACAAGCCCATCCGTGGCAAGTGAGGAAACCCATGATTTGTTTTGTCATGCCTCTTCAAAGGGGGGAACCCATGATTTGTTTTGTCAGTCACTTTTTTAGTGTAGTGAGAATATGTCTAGTTTTAATTGCTATATTTGGTTGTTTGCTGTATGCCTTGTTTATTTCAGTTGTTCACAATATGATGCTCTGTATGTGCAACTATTTACTGTGCAATACATTTTCATCAATACCAGTTTTAAACATACTGATAGGAATGCATATATTTGCTTGCTGTTAAGCCTGTTATAGCTAGCATATGCCTCTTTTAAAGTTTTTTGGTTGTTTGGTTGTTTGTAGTTAGCATATGTCCAGTTCAAATGCTATATTTGGTTGTTTGTAGTATGCCTTGTTTATTCCAGTTATTCACAACATGATGTTCTATATGTGCAAGTATGAACTGTGTGGTTCAATTTCATCAATACCAGTTTCAACAATACCACTATGAATGACTACATTTCGTTGTTGTTAAGCATATTGTAGTTAACACTCCTTTCCATTTTTATTTAACAATAACTAGTGTACTTAGACTGGTACAATACCAGTTTGAATGACTATATTTGCTAGATGTTAAATGTTAGGCCTGTTGCAGTTAACACACCTTTCCACTTCTTGTTTTCCTTAACTAGCGTGCTTAAACTTGCACACATAAGCCATCATTTGGAGATTATTTTGTGTGTCGTGGATATATTTGGTTGATGTTTAGCCTGTTGTGCTTAACATGCCTCTCGATGTACTTACACAAGACAATTTTGGGAACGGCTGCTGTTTTCCATCGAGGTTAGTTTCATCCCATGGCTTATATATACTCACTGTTCAGGATAGCGGTAGCTGGTTCCATATAGGCCGGGGGCTGATAAGGGATTAATCGGTAATATTGACTTTTAACTGAATATATCTGTAACCCATTTATCGGTAGGTTAATAAGGGCCATATCTAATATATCTGAGGCTACATAGCAACATGAACTGCACTGAATGTCTAAATATGCAATCCTAGGCTACATAGCAACAAGGAAGATTGCTACCTTAATGTTCTGATGTTGTCTAGATGTACGTAGAAGATTAGCAGCAACAACAACAATACATCAGCAGTTAACTGGCCAATAATTTGTAAAAATGCAATAAACTCCCTCCGGCCCATAATATAAGATGTTAATTCATCCAATATGTGAGTATGTTGGATGTTAAGATATTATATAATGGGACAGAGGGAGTGTTGTACTACATCATTGTGCAATTGTTGTTTAGCTTCTAATATTAACTGGGTGCTTTTAGATACATATGCCATTGGTAAAGATTCGCGCTTCGACCTTTTCTGCGTATGGGGCAATGAGATATTGATGAACCAACATCAAGTGAGGAAGCTGATAAAGATTGTCAGT